TTTAATTTAATCCAATTCCAGTTCTATTCTATTCAATTTTATTTATATAGCGCCAAATAATAACAGCAGTCACCTCAATGTGCTCTATATATTTTTTAAGATAAAGACGCTGCAATAATACAGAGAAAACCTAAACAATCAGACAACCCCATTTGAAGAAGCATTTGGCAACAACAGGAAGGAAAAACTCCCTTTTAACAGGAAGAAACCAGAACTAGGCTCAGGGAGGGGTAGATACATGCCATGGCCTGTTGGGGGTTATGAGAGAAAGAAAGGATTAAAACACACTTTAGAAGAGAAGAGCTAATGATTAAATGCATGGATGTGTATAAACCCATAGTGACTGAAAAAAGATGAGTGAAGAAGAAACACTCAGTGCATCATCTGGTCGTTAAGTCTGACCACATTAGCCGTCCAAACGCCACTTCAGGTCCCAATGTCAAATGAACTCTGCGGCATCACTGAGAGTTAAAAACTGTCTAAATTCTTTCATCTGCAATAAAATGATCAGTGTGGAGGCTCTACCAGGTGTAACAATTACGTTTAACATGCAGGCATCCATGAAAACAGAATTTCTGAAGTTAAACGGAGGTTAGCAGGGATTTAGCTCGCTAGTTTCCATCTAAAGATGAGATACCATGTTCTGATTGAGGGATTTCTGAAAAATTTAAAAGGTACAGCTCTGCTATCACTTCTAACATAAAGGAAGACAGAAAACTAAGCAGCAGCGATGTTTGTAGGGTTACTGAAGTTGGGCTAACTGGTATATAATGATGTGCTACGTGGTGGCTAACAACACAGCCATGGTTAGTATAATATAAACACATTAGCACAGTGAAGCTGGAGGATGAACGCTAACTTTTTTCCACTCAATAAAAGTTAGCACTCGCATGGCAAGACGCTGTTAATGGACCAAACTGAGATAATCCATCCACAATCAAGGTTAGTCATTAATATATTGCTGCATGGGCTGGACTGTCGTTACATCATAAGGTTTTTTTTAAAAGAACTGAGCTTTAAAACTTGCTGCTGACGAATTGTGGTAATACAAGCTAAGCGAGATCAACAGTGATCACTTCCTTTTTTGGGGGGGGGTTGTTCCGATTAAATAATACAAGATAAAAAGGATTAAAACATCTTAAAAACATAACAGCCTTAATAAAAGCAGAGTAGTTTGGACCCAAATGCAGGGTTCATACGTCATCACTTAACAACCGGATTGGAAGCCCCCGGCATCTTAGGCCTATTGCAGCATAACTAAGGGAGGACTGAGCGTCACATGATCCAGACCTAACTATTTGCTTGATTAAAAAGGAAGGTTTTAAATCCTATTTTCTATTTACACTGTGAAAAGATGGAACAAGTGCATGCTGGAGCTCACATTGTGCAGAAAGCCAGAAGAAACTCTTGCTATGCTCTTTAAGGTTAAATGGACTGAAGGAACAGCCCAAGTGGTCACAGGGTTCATGAATATGCAGGAGCAAGTTCTATGAATGATTTCTGTTTCTGATGAGCCACAGCAGGTACGAAGCCCTACTTCTAACACTTTGCAGTAGATGCTATCATTGACCTTGTGATGAGCTGACATTTTGCAGCAGTGAAGTCACACTATGAAACGTTAGCACTGACAACCCAGAAAGTCAGGAAGAGTAGTGCCCTTTACTCTCCTATTTGATGGGACTGCAGAAGAACAAGCTTTCACATTTACCCTGATGTGAAACTCTGAGAGGGCCGTAAATGGGTGACAGCCGAAGACAAGATTTCGAGAGTGTAACTTTAAGATTGCTACACTGATTATTTGAGTCACACTGGATGGTGATAGAAACATGCCCTCCATCCACCCTCAGCCTCACAGTCACACTTGGCTTTGTGAGTGCTGGTGAATCACACAGTATGTGCTGCCATCACTGTACTATATCGCATACAGGTCGGCCGATGACTGAATCATGGAATCGGTTGTGCTGCATTACTCTGTGTGATTCAGCAAATTCGCACATTATGAGGGAAGCTGTGAAGTAAAAGAGCTCGGAGGGTTTCCGCCGATAACACCCTGGTGACCCCGTTTTACAGAACTCTTACGGACATTTTCCATTTATTTAAAGATGATGTAAAAAAAGAAAAAGAAAAAAGGAAAGCTCAGAAAAAAAAGGCTTTAACAGTGTGTACTTTACTTATGTGTATGTGCTGGTTGCCTGCCTTCCTAGAGATGGAGGGTCATTAATGTAAACAAGCAATAAGGTTATTATAATTTCATTATGAATATTATTTTGATTGAGTGCTGGAACAGAGCTTTGAATCGTTTCCAAGTCACGTATTGACCGTTGTTTTGTTTCTTGATGGCTCCAAAACTCAGTGTCCGGCTATCTGCCTCCTACTGATCAGTAAGCAATTAAGCAAATATCTAAAGAGAGCACACACAACCACATCCATACGGTTCATTGCCTCACCTTTAAAGCTACATCAGGGGTTTCTTTGGCCTTGCTTTCCCATGAAGCTAGAGAAAAGAAATACAGTTGTCAAATCCTTCAGGTCTAATACAGTACTGTGCAAAAGTCTTGAGCCATCTCTCATTTCTTTATATTTTGTTTCCAAGGAGCCTGAGTTTCGTGTAACCTTTAAAGTGGTCTTGAGCATTAGTTCTTCAGGCTATAAGAAGGTCTTTCAAAGTTTTTCTTTGGACATTTTCTGCTTTTTCACTAATTTTGGTGATTCCCAAAAAGCTGGCACATTTCAGCATGGTGTGCAGGTTGTCTCTAAAAAATTTGAGGAAACTGGACAAGTGGAGGACAAAAGATGAAGTGGCAGTCCTAAAAAACATCATCAACAAAAACAATCCGCAGTAGATGAACACATACCTAAAAGTTATTTTCTTAAGAAATAGGAAGACTCTGATGTGAGGACTTGAGAGATTGAATGAATCAGGTGAGTCAAGATTAAGAACGAGTGGGATGTGGCTATTTCCGAGTGACAGGTGGGTTTCTTGTTAAACAGTTGGTAGCCAAAGAATTTGATCTTGTTAATTTATAAATCAATGGGCACCATTAGACTGGCTAGATTTATTCTGTTTTGTAAAAATATAACTGGAGAGAGAAATCAGCCTTGCACAGAGATTTAGTTGGACAGGTTCAAGTAGAACAGACTCATGTTTGAAAGCCACCAAAGTCACTCTAAAGTTTCAAGGTGTAAGTTGACATCTAACAGGTGAGAAACTGTACATTCAGACATAAATGAAAAAAATAACAGGGGGCAACTTAAAAACAGCTTGTCACTAAAATAACAGCAAAATATGTACTTCAGTGTACTATTAGAACATCAGTTTGAAGATTCCCATCACTTTGCTGTTGTTTCTAAACAAATACCAGTTGAATTTACCTGTTTGAGTTGATGTGAAGTACGTTTTCCATTATAAGCTTGAATAAGGATGTTTGAAGTGCTGCGACTACAATAAGCAACTATAAGTGAAAGATTTGTAGACTATAAGCCTATTTTATGTGGGACGCAGAGTCCTCTCTGCCATTACATGAAAGACCTTAGTTACCGTTATTGAATGCATAGTAATACAATAAAGGGAGATAGTGTAGAGATTCATGCCCACATTGTCCTAGTGCTTCATGTGCATCAGCTTTGAGGTGGTTATATTTGTAAACAGAGCCTTTTCTCTCTATTTCAATCCTTCCTCGGTTTCAGCTGAGGCAAAATAAAAATCGTGTGTGGGTGTGCTTGGGGTGTGAAGGGCCTGTGAATGGTAAATGCATAATGGTAAATGTTATTTTCAAAAGCTGAGATGTGCACAATTTAGCAGTGATGCTTAGAAAGCTTCTAAAAATAAAAACATTGCTTTAAAAGGATTTTACATTCTTAAGAATCCTGATTCAAATGTTTTGCATAATGGTGACTGGTTGCTTTTTGGATAATGGATTTTGGTTTTGCAAGAGCAAATTGTGGTGATTCAACAGACAAAATTTTTGCTCCAAAATGTTTCTGGGAAAAACTGGGACCTTTTACCGCAAGGACACCATATTATCTATCGGTTTCAGTCATGCAATGCAATAAATTTTTCTTCAGGGGAACCTTTAGTGTTTGCATTAATGTTACTTAGGCAAGTACCATAAATCTAAATGGTGAAGCAGATCAAATATGACCCTGTAGGGCAATAGCATGTTTGACAACAGCATGACCATGTAACCCGCTACTTTGAAAAAGGTTGCTGAGTAAAACTTGAGGAACATGAAACTAGAGCCCAGGGTGTTCATCCAGCCTCTAAACTCCTCAGATCAAAATCCCAGTGACCATCAGCGGGATGCACTGGAACTCAGCAGCCAGTTGCCCAAACCCAGAGTTTCAATTGCAAATGCACTGGTGGCCTGGATGGAGGCAACCTGTCACCAAATAATCGCAGACTGCCTCAGGCTGACTGCAATCACTCTCAGGTAGATTAGCAACATGCTGCAATCAATCCGAGTAAGTGTGGGACAGTGAGTGCAAATCATCCGCATCTCCACTCAGCTGGTTTGCAACCGGTTGCCAAGCACCCATGTCATTTTGCAGTTAAGTGACCATACTGCAGAAACTAAATCAAAATTTATGCAGGAATTTCTATTTTAGATCCATGAAGTTCAGGCTTTATTCTGAATGCAAATAGTTAATTTGGGAAGTTTTGTTTAAATTTTGTTTGTAGATGGCAACAATTTGCTTAAAGTTTGCACTAAAGTTGCTTTGAAGGTGGCAACTGACTGAGTGATTCCAGACCCATCTTTGACTCATCTTCAGAGGCAACAAGGCTTCAAAGACTGCAGTAATTTTGAACGTGCTGCGGTCTCCCAGCATATACAATTGTATCGAAGTAAAACAGTCCCTTTAAAATGCTCGCCACTGTTAAAATAATTTTCTTACTGTAATCTTAATGTAGCAACACACACACACACACACACACACACACACACACACACACACACACACGTGCACCCAGACTGAAATAAGGAGACGGGGATAAGAGGATATTAGTTCTGAATCTCATATCCTGTTTTATTGTTCAAATATGGCAGAACAAGATATACAACACAGTACAAACAACACACCCACTCAGTCGGACATACACGTGGAAACATGGAAAGGCAAACAGAGAAGACATATTTGTACGCTTGTTCAAACACGCACACACACACGCAAGTCTGAGTTTGCATGATTGATACAGACAAGAATTTCTCAGGGGAACCGCTGATCAAACGTCCCACAGACAAACACATCCACGCTTTCACAGACACATGAACAGGCCAACAGGACAACTTGTGTATTAAAGGGGATTTTAAGGAGATTAAGGACCTGGTGACAACAAAAAAAAAGCGAAAAGAAAATGTTCAAAGTCCACCGTAAGACAGCTACCCCCCTCCTCCTCCTCCTTCCATCTGTCTGTGTTATTGACCGTTTAAGTAGGTTCCACAGAGATGAGAGTGCAGCTCACACTTGTTCTCACTGCAGGGAAATTAATCCTCAAACAGCTGAAAATCAAAGTCACTTGCTTTTTTCTTACAATGGAAATAACACATATTCTGTTTTATGGTGGACTTTTAAATTTTTTTTAAAACATTTAACTGAAGAATCCAACCCTTTAGCCTCAGGCTGATGTTTAAGAGACTTTGGCAAATCCCCGAACCTACCCCACACGCGGGGTAAAAAACATCCTTCAAGAAAACAAGAGTCGCACGAGTTTGTTTTAGTGACTGAAGGCCACTTTGATCTGAACAGTATAAACCTGCTCTGTAAAATCCGAAACCAGTTTTTAAAAACATAAATTACAAAAATCTTGTGCTTTGTACACCTTCGAAATACAAACTAAAATCCAGCGTCTTCATTTTTTATGTTTTTACATTAAATCATGTAAATCAGCTGTAAGACAAAGCAGCTAAACAGATTAAATAATCACTGTTCTAGCTGTTTCCTGCAGTAATATCTAATTTAACACTGGTGCGTACGTATTTCTGAATAACAGTGGATGAATTTCATGAGCACAATGCTATAAGGGCCTATGTCATTAAGCTTACATTAAAAAAAAAAGACGGAAGACAGCGAAATTAGGAGCTGTGGGGTTCTCAGCTGTGAGGAGCTATTGTGGGACTCTCAATCACTGCTTGCCTTTAACAGCTCTTGCATGTACAGTACTACAGAATCAGATGCTTCTCAGCATCAGCATACTGATACACCCCAAAACAAAAACACTGAGCCTCAAACAAACGGACTCCAGCCTGTGTCAAAGACTTAACAATTGACCAACGTGCTGCGTGCTGCTCTTTAAAAATGCATTTCATAGAGAATCAAACAAAAAAAAAGAAAAATCACACTGATGTATTAGAGAGGAAGGCGAGTTCTGAAATAAATACTTAAGTCTAACAGTAATAACAGCTTGTCAAGGATTTAATCATGAAGGTTCTGGCATTAACGGAGAGACGTTTTTGGCAACTCATAGTGTAATGTTACGCTGAAGCACATCATTTTATTTTGTAGCATCCCCAAGCCACCAAAGTTAGTGTTTTTATTTATTTTTAGTGGACGTTGATTTATAGGATTTTGCTCAAAAGCATCACTTAAGTTTCCAAAGTGAATCTATCTCAACTCCATGATTGTCTCGGTGCTGCCTCGGTAGTACACACTCTGGTAATGCAACTGTAATATATGACACTAAAAGCAAAGCTGTGGGGTGGGGGCAGGTTATGTCAGTTTCTGTACCAGACGTGAAGAAGATAAAATAAAATGCTAGAAATATAAATAAGATCTATTTAAGTGGACTGCCAAATGCAACAGAAGCTTGCACAGATTCAAGTCCAGCATACTGACGCGTGTCTCACACTTAAGTTTGAAGAATCCAGCCGGTCACACGGCCTCTTCAGCCACAAAGATGAACAAATGATTTTCTGTCTATGAAGGCAGAAGACGTTTAAAGGATGGTGAAAGACTCTTCACCTGAAACCGTTTCAGCAAAAGGCTTTTTTTTTCATTATCAGAGGGAAATAAAGGACATTTCAAGTTCATTTTAAAAGGTAAACTAAACTATAAACAAAACTTAATTTTTCTTATTCTAAAAGGGCAGTTTTGCAGTGATGGGTCACAGTGAAGCCTTAAATACGGATGAGTGTCTCTACAGGAGTGCTTCACATCTGTGTTCTGGGTTTGAGTGCCAACATGTACCCCTCCCCTGCAGATCAGTGCAGAAGGAGGGACGAAACTCTCGCTGTTAGATGTAGGACAGCAGAGTTGGTGCGGTAAGTCAACAGGCTAAACAGGCTGGCCTGTTAGGACGGTCACCTGGCGTTAATTTCAAGCTACATTACCTATTTAACTAGCACTGTGTCGAGCTAGGTCAGGTGGGCGGGTGGCTAGCGTGGCTGGCTAGCTGGGTTAGCTGGTCAGCAAAGTGGGCTGACTGGTTGGCTGGTTCAAGCTTTGTGCCCAGGTCTTACTGACTCTTCTCATGTCTAACCAAGCCTGGCTGATGGTGTCCGGACTGCTGGTTTTTCAGTCTCTGCGCCTCGGTCGGGTGAGGTCACTTCCTGTTCACTGTGATGGAGTTGGCTGTAGTGTTCGTCTTTGTAGCAGTTTCCTCTGTATTTCCAGGGGGCTTCACTGCGGCAGCATTAGGACCGCCCCCATTCTGAAGTGTTTCCTGTTTGTACTGTTGCAAGGCGCGGTTGACGGCGTCCTCGACCAGTCGCTTGCTGACCTTCAGCAGCTCCGCCTCGTCTGGCTCAGACCGGCGACGCCCACCTGGGTAGCAAAAGCACAAGTATATGAGCACGTCATGTCCATTAACAGCGAATTGAAAAAAGTAATCAATCAACTTTGACAATAAAAGAGTTTGTCAGCAATATTGTGGGGAAACAAAAACAAAGAAAATCACATAATTGATCAAAATCAACAAATCTTAGAAGATCAGTGGAATTGTGCCAAAGGAGAAAGCCATCCAGCCATGGGCCAGATTCAAATTACTTACTTTAAAAAAGGGTATTGGACATAGCAAAACATTTTACATAAATATTGCCTCAAGGTCGAGAGTCTGGTCAGTAACGACCCCTCCTTCCCTTAGTTAGCTCCAGTTGCTAGGCAAAGTGTGTACCACTTGCAGTTGCCGAGTTGCTGCTGGAGTTGGTGGCAACAATGATGCAGCACATGGGGGACTCTAGTGAGTAAAACTAGTGAGTAAAACTTGCTTCTTACCAGTGCAACCAATATGTTTCAACACATTGACTTTAAGTTGAAAGTCAAACGTTGCCACGTTTCTGGCTTGCATATCAATTTTGCAAGTTTGACTACTGCTGAGTAAGTTGTTGGCGAGTATTTTCAGACAAGCTGGCATCTGCCATTCAATCTATGATGCAGCACTAGGTGCAGCACACTCTTTGGCTACCAATTACACCTGGCAACTCCAAGCAACCTCCAGCAACCACTTGCCAACTGGTTGCGGAACACGTACGTTTCCCTAGCAACTGGATGTTGCCATAGGGTCAATGACTGATCTGTAAGCCTGCGTGACTGAGGTCTAAATTCGTTTTAGCCCATATTGCGCGTAGTTTTAAAATGTAATAAAGGCAAATTTTGTATAACTGGCACCTTCAATGTTAAAGGCGACCTATTATATTTTCACACACTGTTATAATGATGGGTGCTCCTATTAAACACAAACCAGTGCACAAACATCTGAATGATGTCAGTGGTAGGAGATTTCCACAGTATTGTCATCAACCTGAATGCAAAGCTACGCTCCACAGTCCAAGAATAAAAACATGGGAGTGATAACAAGGATGCCAATGAAACTCTAAACCCGATTTATACCACCATCGTCAACTGTCAGAATATAAATGCCCCCTTGTGCCTGTAAAAGGGCATGTTAGAGCAACATCAGTACTCAATAAAAAAAAATATCCAAACCCATCATGAAACTGCTGATTGTTCTCTGTGTTTGTGGCTCCAGCTGAGCTTCCACTTCACCATATGTGTCAGGAATTAGTCAGTTTTTAGCTATAGTGACATTTAACTCGACGGTAAATTTGATTGCAGCACTAAGCTGCTTCCTGTGGTGTCTGAGTGCCTTTCTGATGAAAGCACGACCCGTTTCATTCTTTTTCTAATATGCTCAAAATGAAAACAGAAAATAACCATTAATCTGACAATAATTAATTGTGTGGATTCTCCACTCATCACAGACTGAACACGGCGACAACAGATTGATGTCGCAATAGGAAAGAAGTGATCGTTGCAGAGATGATAGTCACAGAAGATGTAAACAGCTGATATTAATTTCCTTTTTGGTTTGAACACCAAAGCAAATCATTTAAGTTTAGTTCAGCTACAGACAAAATGGCAGACAGAAAGACGGCAACGCCAGTCAGAAGAATCGCCGAGATGGTCAGTCAGTCAATAATTCATGTAGAAAGAGAGCAAAGCAGGCAGGCAGGCTGTAGGATGGACAGGCAGGAGCAAGCCATTCAGAAAGAGAGTAATAGAAAAATCATTCAGCCATCCAGTCTGTCTGGCGCACACAAACACACACACAGACAGGTACGCACAAACACTATATAACCGCATTAGCTTTTGATTACCAAGGCCAAGCACAAGATTCGCACACTAACCCTCTTTACCACAGAATCCCACTGGGCCCATAGGTTTGTTTCATTTGAAATCAGCGTCGTGCTCTATTATTCATTATACAGTGAGACAGAGCATACAGCAGGAGACGACGATGATAATTTTGCTGAGGTCAGAACCAGCTGAGAGTATGATTCGTAATTTATTGTCATCTGTTGTTTTCATCCGACAGAGGTGTCTCAAACCAGCCATGTGTCACATTCTCTTCTTATGTTTTTTTTAATATTAACCAACAAGATGGTGAAATTAAATTAAAGCAAGTTCTGATGCTGTGTTAATTGTTCAGTCATCTGCTGTTAGACTGTTACATAAGTGACAATCCACACACAATGAGTCATTTTATATGAAAATCCTTCTGTGCAGACTACTAAATTAGCATACCCATGAATAATAAATACAACAAGGTGCCACCGACCTTGCTGTGCCCTCTGTTAATATGCAAATATCAGTGAAGTGCATCTGCTGACCTCTGTGCAGAATATAATACAGTGGCATCAGTCACCAAAGACCGACTGTGAGCTGAAATCTGTTATCCAGACCACTGGAATAAGTCACTGTCGCGAGTATATCACCTCCGCCACGGTCTGATGACACGAGCACTGTGCGACTGTGGATTTATGCTGTTTATGCCAAGCGTCCAGCCTGGTAACAGCACGCCAAACAGAAAACAGGAGTCGTCAGAACAAGCCAGCAGTTGCTTCTCACTCATCTATTTAACGTCCCCGTGTGCTCGAATCAGCTTTTCCATCTATTGTTTTTGAACATGTTCTGTTTTAGCAACTTGAGGTTTATCGAGTTGTGCTTTCTACAAAACGCTGCTGCTGTTGTACTGAGATGTTATTTGATTACCTGCCTGCTTGTCTTTTTGAGTGAGTCATACCTCTGATTGATGTTTGTTTTTCTATCTACCCTTTAGTTTTAGTGACTGAATTCACTGAATATGCCTTTCTCAGTAAAACTGCAGGCAGATTTCTAAGTAGCGCAGAGTGGCGCTCCTAGCACTAATGATCACAATCGTTTAAATCATGTGACGGTCATCCTGTTTAGTCTTTGCTCCACTCTTAGAACTCCCTCACAGTCAGCGCCACAAACCGTCCGCTCATTACTGATGACCGGTTTCTGATTCATGAGATAAACAGCAACTGGGCCAAGACTTATTTATTTATTTTTTAAGCAGGGAGCATATTCTGCACTTTACTTAGGCAACCTCCTAGTGGGCGACAGTCTGAAGTAAAACAAACATTAAGATGTTTGCAGTCCTCTCTGCTGTCAGAAACTGTTTAATCAACATTTAAAATATAGTAAAACTGCAGTAAATGTAGTTAAATTAAACTGTGCCTAACAACAGTAAAGCTCTAATTTGGTCAAACTAATCTCTGCTTTCTTTATTTAATTAAACTGTTTAACAACACCCTAAGACTATGTGAGGTCTCCCTGTTTTTGTCACATTCTTTTCAGCCAGGTTGCAACACCCTGTTCATCTGTAGACTACTTCTGTTTTTTCTTACCCATCCCAATTGAAGTGCATAATCTTAGCTATAGTAGTTATTACAGGACAAACAAAAGTTTGAGTCAGCCAAGCGAGACCAAAAACATTAGGTGTAGATTGTACCTCATATCAGACACTGACGGCATGTTTCTACAACTGTTTGGACCCGATCTGTCTCAGAGTTTTTTCCCCATCCGTGCAAGACCGTCAGTCCACTGTTAACCTCAGCTGTCAATGCCGGGTGACGTTGTAGAATAAAAAGGGGATGTTTTTTCCTCTTCTAGTTTCATTATTTTAATATGGCACTATTAGTTCATTAGAATCATATAACCAGCTTTGCATTAAATATATACTGAAGTTTTTGATCTTACATTAGCCTTTGTATTACAGTGATTGTTATAACTCTAGTTTGACTTTCTACTTACAGGTACCAGAATAATATGATCTTTCATTGCAGATGTGACCATGATCAACTTATACATATTGCAGTTTGTTGCTTATTATAGAGTTGTGCTCAAGTTAATTAAGGGTTAAAAGCTACAGTCAGCGTGAATGTCTGACTGATCTATGGAGGGGAAAGGCTTCGAGCATAGAGGGCCGCACGCGCTTACGTACCACTGATATCATATTATTATTTGTGGTCTTTTATTCAATTATGTTTTTTGCTAAGTTTAAAGTGGTAGTTAATTAATGCAAACATGCTTACAGTACATATAATACATATAATCTAGGAATGTGTCCGACCTGAGGCCTTAACTCATTTGGAGTCTCACTATATTTTACTCTACTTGGTAACAGATAACCAGAGTCAATAATTAGCCTCAGAGACCCTGAGGGCTTGAAGTTTATTACCTTGTTTGGAAGGTGTTATAGAAAAGAGAAGTTCTATGTCTGTTTGTACCCATTAAAGATGTACAAGATGTACGATTAACTGTGACTAATGTCTGGAACCTATTTTGATCTGTCATTACGCATGAAGGGGCGTTCTAATACCCTGATTTTTTACAAAACTATGGAGATGTGTTTTTTGTGATGAGATCTGAGGCTGTCTGCATACAGTTTCCATCTCCCACGTGTGTGACCATTAAAATCATCGTTTGACTTGACCCGGCCGGACCAGTGTTGTTATTGTGGTGTTTCTCCTGTCTCCATCCCCAATATTTTGAACCATAACAACGTCTACCTTTATTTACTCTGGAGGAGGCCGTAAACCTTTGTGAAAGCAGTCCAGTACGGGTGAGTGAGTCAGAGAATCCTACTTCACATTGATGGCAGCCAGGCTGAGGAGAATTGTTGAGGGTAAACGCAGCAGTTTTTGTTGCTCTTAGCTGTTGTTAACATCTGTTAGCTGCTGTTTGTCAGCATAAATTAAACTTTCTTTGATATGGCCTAACACATTACTGGACTGGAGCTGATTGATTACATTCTCACATTGTATGAGAAGGTATTCAAAGTGTTTATCAGACACTTGAGCCTAACATTAGCCTACATACATAATGTTCTCCTCCACCTTTGGAGTACTACATATTTGACTGGTCTCTAGCCACATGTGTAAAACACCAATAGTTGGAAGGGAGATGTCCTTCCCAGACTCTGTATTCAAATATGGTGGATGGTTTGTTGGAAGATGCACACTTAGACTGAGTACAATATTCAACCCAGTATTGATGAGTGTACATTTAAAAAGTGCTTCTTCAACATTCTTTTCAAAAATTATATTTTTTGCTTTGAGAGAAACTGACTTGCTGGGAAAAATGAGGAGCTTTATAAAGCACATTGCTTTCGAACAACTTTAAATTGCCCGAGCCCAATGGAGACTGCTGGCTCAAACTTAGTTGAATAATGATTAATATTTATAAAGGTTGCATATAGTGCTGGCTCCAAATTAACAGTAAAAGATGTTGTTGGCGTGGCTGGATTTTTTATTTTTTTTTAAACATTCAACAAAGACATCCATGTACAGCTGAAAACTGTACGTTAATTGTGTTTTGTTATTGATGTTTTGTTAAATTTTACGTTGGATATTTGAGGGTTTGTATAAGAATGCATTAGAGCTGGCATATTTCAGTATGTTTGGTCTAATCACCATTTTATGAATTGAGAAATAGCCCAGTCAGTGACGGTTACAGCCGGAACAAACTGGGTGAAACCTCGCCTCTCATTAAAACAGAAGAATCATATCACGGTGGGAACTGTGTAATTTACTGCAAAGGACAAGACGACTACAATAGATATTCCTCAACAGGGAAGGTTCTATATGGAGCATATTTGCCTTAATTAATTGAGGCCAACATGGCTTGGGCCTCAGTCCTGCAGGCCTAGCGACAAGTCTGCGCAACTTCCAGTAGCTATGGGTGTTCCCTGACTATTTGGCAAGTGGTTGCTGTAGGTTGCTGACAGTCGCACTGAAACCTCCTTGTGACTGTGTTGGTCAACAGCAGATCAATAAGGTGCAACTTTTACTTCGTGAAGTCTCCAATTCCCCTTTGTGTTGCACTTTTTCCAAGTTTCATTACTACTTAGCAAGTACCAGCTGGTTGCAGAATGATTCGTAGGCCTACATCACTGGTATTAGGCAGGTTTTCATTCAGTGGCTGGTTCTACAGTTGAATTGCAGTTTGTACACATGCTGAACCCATTACATGTCCACTAGTTTCTAAAGGTCTCAACCCAATTTAAGTAATTTTTTTTGCATATAGATTTAAAATAAAACACATGAAGAAGGAATGTCTGTAATAAAATATGTGTAAGTAAATATCAAAGTAAGAAAGGTAAACCTAAAATGTAAACAAGGATTATGATTTAGAGTGCAGGATGAATTATTTTACTCAAATGAGGGGGATGCAACTGAAACAAATACATAAAACCCAGCAGCACGATTAATGGACAGCCTACTTAATCACTTCCTGCCCAGATGCTCTAAATAGGACAGAGGCTGCTTCTGCTTCCACCATTTACGCTAACTTAATAAAGAGGAATGAGATTGTATATGATTGGATTACAACAATATTAGTAAAAATACTGAGAATGATCAGAGAGACGATTTGGATACAAAAAAGCAACGAGATGGTATCATCTTTTGTAATCAATAAACTGGAGATTATTCCAAGGCAAGAAGTAATTAAACCATTAATCAGCCTGAATTTGATTGTTGTGGAGGTATATGGGAAATGATGGCTTTAGGGTCATTGCAGTTGTAGCTTGTAATCAGATGCAGATCACACTTTGAATGAACCCTCCCAACTCTGATTGTACACATATGACGGGAGGAGGACACGTACTTGAGCGTTTAGCACGGACTGGAGCCTGAACCAAATCTGCAACACAAGCACAAACATCAAATATTAAGTAAGCACAAACAAACAAAGCAGACATATTCTGGCGTCTCAGGGATTGCACACACTCTCCAAACAGCGCCGTTATAAGAGCCTCTTTGTGTGTTACCACGGGGGAGATACTTTCAGTGCTAGACAGCAGTGATTTTAAACATTCGTTTTGGACCCCGGGGCTACATGAAGCCTAAAAAGGATGCAGAAATACTGTGAAGGCAAAACTGTTAACCAAAGCCACTGAGTCATACTACCAAAATATTGCATTAGGTTGGACAGAAGGATGGAGAAGGAAAGCAGGGCACAATACCGTGGGCAAGTTTTCTTCTTGTAAAAGTGGCTTTTAAAAGAAATCTGTTGCATACCAGAAGCTTTTATTTTGAGGTTGCACTTCAGAAAATAAAACACTGGACAAGATACGATGAAATAAGAGTTAACTTACACCGTGACTTAACGCTTCTTGAGCTCCTTCCGTTGCATTGAACACCCAGAAAATATCGCTTTCGATGCCAACCTTACGTAAGGTGGTTTCGTCTCGCTTGTCAAAGGTCTCTTCTGTGTCTGTATCTGTTAATGTGACTGCGTGTTTCTATCTGCCTATTCAATCTTGACCTGTCGAAGTGACGGCCTTTATGATGGCAGTAAAGCCATCCTCTGTACCTGTTTCTCACCCACACACTAGCAGAGAAACAGATAAGCTTTTCAAACTGCGGATAAACGGACTCCACGGCAACGAGGCTGACAGACACATGAATCTCACTCGCTCAACTTATCTCTCTCTCCCCCTCACACACACACACACACACACACACACTCAGTGTTCCCACAATTCCTCAAAGCGCCAGCCCTCCTCGTATCCTCTCCTCTCGCTGCCACTCTGCTTTTACCTTCTCTAACCTCGCTCTCTCTTTATTCAAACATTTGTTCTTCTTGCTCTCCCTCTCTTCACCTTTTTTTTGCTGGCTGTGTAGTCATGGTGACAGTGATGAGAACCAGACACACACTTTTAACAGCAAAAGGAGGTTGTACCGACTTTCCATCTGTTTTTGTTGTCAAGTTTAACTCTCTATAGCCTCTAAGTATCATCTTCTCCCAAACCAGTTCGTCTTTACCTATTTGGCTTCTTTGCCTCTTTCTTACGTTCCACTTCCTCACTTTTTGGCCTTTTTCAAGTCTCTAAAACAGCTTTTTTTGGTCTTAGACTGAAAGATAAAAAAAGTAGAGAAAAAAAGTTACAAGTGCTCTGCACTGAGGTCCCATCATCAAGGAGTGACCCTAATCATACGCTAATGTAATTTTTGTTCTCGTTTCTAAAACAAAGGGGCAGAGGTTCGTTGGTTTTCTACTTCGATCCAGGCTAATGTATCTGAACTATCATGACTAATACATCTTTTAGTGTAACTTTATTGACTTGACTTGATTTTATCCCCATCCAAACTAGAATTACAGCATTACTGTTAAAATTATTACATTACAGCCTTACAGTTGTGTCCCTCCCGTAATCAGTCAAGGTGCAGTGTAGACTTTAAAACTAATTTTATTAGTAATTCAGTTTCTTATCTTTCCCTGAGTCACTGAATAATAGGGGTGGGGGAAAAAAACCGATACTGTGTAGTATCGTGATATTTTGTTTGCTAATAATGTATCGATACAGGGACAGCAGAAATCGATATTTTGTTACAAAAAAGTTTTTGTGGAGTGGAACATGCTCTGACTTCAGAACATGTTGATCAGCTCCTTTTTCTGAGCAAGAATCCTGACATTCCTTCACTGTCCAAATGTGTTTAACTTTTTTTATGGCAGCAATAAACATGACAGTTTACTTATTTTAATTTAAGACATGTTTTATTTTAATTAAGTTTAAAACTTTTTTATTTAATGTAAAATTATATTTTGTTTTAATTTACTTTCAAATTCTTCAGTTGCTGAAGGGGCTGCATAGTTTTCACAAATTGCATAGTGCAGAATAGCTATAATTGTACCAGATGGTTGCATTGAGTTAAGTTGGACTAGACTGTAATACAAACCGTTCAGTTTGTCAACATTAAAACTGACTGAAATGAGAGAAAGACTGAGTGCGAGACTTTGTTATTAGATAAAATGAATATTGATAAAGTTTACCTTTATGTACAGAATCTGAATATCGCAAAATATTTTAAAAAATTGCAATAATATCGTATCGTGCGTTAAGTATTGTGATAATATCGTATTGTGGGATGTATGGTGATTCCCACCTCTACCGAATAATGGTCCAAACAAGGGTTTTGCAAATCCTTTTGATATTACAGTAAAGCTGACCCTTGATCTTTTACAGCCACAATCTTATCAGTTCATCCTTGGCTTTAGCAGATAGATGGAGACTCCTTTCAAGAATTACTGTGATGACATATTCACAAGAATGGGCTTGGCACTGTCACCATTGACAAACAAAATCTAAGATGTTTATTACTAAGTTTATTGTTATAGCTGTTGCAGAGTCCATGTGAAAAGTTGTGTAAAATGTAATTAGTTCCCTCAATGTGTTTAGGACATGTGACAAGGTACATAAAGACATATGAAATCACTATTCTGCTACTGCTGCTGCTGGTTCAGATCCACAGAAACTCAGCCAAATGAATATGCATTCAATCAACAGTAACAGAAATTGTCTTATTAAATAAAACACAATTCTAATCTTAACATGTGGAGTGGTTTTCAATAACTCAAAGAGGTTTTCTATTAAGTTTTCTAAATAAAAAGGTCACTCTGCCACAGTCACAGCATGTCAATGTACTGATGTTAACATATAGTTTAAAGCATCGGAGCTGCTGGGTGTTCTTGATATGTTCTCTTTTAACTTTGTTCCTCTCTGATGTGCTCCTGCTGTCTCGCTCTCTAATATCTTCCAGGTCTCATAGTTGCTCCGAGAGGCAAAGGTTGAAAGGTTCTTGCTGTTCTTGGTGTGCAGACGCTATGTTTAGGATTTTGACCGTACACTGTCAGCTTTGAGTCTGTACAACGTCAAGTGGCAGTGTGTGTCTGCTCGAAGTCACCACTCCACTGTAATATATGTTGGCCTTTGAAGGGACCGTTAAACACCATTACTGCAAATTCTCTTACACAACCTCCCCTACTTATTCATCTTGCTTTTAACAGCCTTTTCTTCAAGAGAACCATTTGCAGGATTCTGTTGAAACTTGGACAATTTCACTTGAAAATATCACCTCTTGGATGGATGGATATTCTATTGAGCCCAAACCGGAAATTAAACGGACCAGATAACGGCAGCTACTGATGATGCAAAACCGTGCACAGGAACTAGCTGTAGTATCTAAAATGATCCTTAATAATCGCATTAAATTGAATCTAATTTACTGGATTGTGTTTGCTAACTATCTAAAAATTTGCTGTCATAAATACACTCTTTTTACTTTGAATGAGCTGATCATTTTTGAAAGCTCTCACAGGGGTTTGAGCAGAACATCAATGCAGCATATCTGCAGAAGGAGGATGAAAGGAATGGGTAAATAAAAAGGAGGAGGAGAGGAGCGTGTTCGGGCCCTAGAGGAAGGCTTGCTGTATCATGAGTGCGTGCTTTGACCTCAGCATCCGCAAACAACTGGGAAAACAGAAGAATTTCATAGTAGTCTAATAATGTAGAAGAGACTGAATGTAAAAGCTTCTTCTTCAGTACGTGACTTTAGGAAGCAGAGGGTAACAATATCTGCGCAATAGGATGGAGTTTGAAATGAGAAAAAGCAGGGGGAAAAAAATGAACTCTGTGCATGCGAGGACAAAGACGAAGAGAGAAAGTTGAGGTTGAAAAAGAAGAGGCCGGCGGGGTTTTGTAGGCTGTGGTGGAGGGGTGGGTTGGGGTACAGAGTACTGACAGTTTGCAGAGAAATATACCAGAAAGTTTTCCATACTTGATTCTGACTGCAGCAGAGTGCAGCACATTTGCTGATTCTCAGCAGCCCATATCCTGGTATACACTTTATGAGGATGAGCTGTCCATGGATCGTTTATTATTAAGCACCAGGTTAGATTATTAGCCTCTCAAAAAGCAAACAAATGCGCTCCCTAAAAACATGCTGCAAAACAAACAGGACGCAGTATTAATCCGCCTGATTAAACATTTGCTTATCTGCATTAATTCAGATCAATAAACCCGCCAGAAATGGCTTTGAAAAGAAAATTCAAAGTTTTATCACCGAGGAAAATTCTGCAGCTGTAACGTGGCTTAATTTTCCACTACTTTGTGAATCTTGCAACACAAGAAAGTAATTACGTTTCTGACCATCTCTTCGCCGTGCCAGAGCAATGGGATACAGCAGGGTGTTGGTGCCCAGATCTGTGCAACTCAACCAGCGCAGTGAAGACAATTTTAATGGCTCAAACAAAATGAGACACAAGGATGGACCCACTAATCTGCTTTCATATCATTCTAAATACAAAATAATGAGATAAAAAAAACCCAATGGTGATACATAAAGTGTGATCAGAATTTTTTTTTGTTAATTTCAAGTTTCTCTTAATAAACTTGAAAAAAAGGGAAGCTTCATGATTTCCACGCCGCTCAGCAAACTGAGCTAATGAACTAAAAATGGACACGGATGGTAGCGAGCCAAAGCCATGCTGACTGCACAATTACACACGGAAACAAAGTGCTGCGGACTCATAGATGGCACCAATAATCACCAATAATAACAACAGATTTAGTAAAGTGGGGTAGCATTACTCTGTGGGACTATAACTGAAAATATTTCAACAACTTGCGCTGTAGTTCCAATTTTTTCAAACATTTTGAAAACGTGGCAGCTTTAATACTGTAGCAGTCCAATAATACTTGGACAAAGTACATTTTCAATTATTTTAGGCAGCAGTGGTTCCAACAATTACCGTAGTTTTTTTTAGAAAGACAATTATCACAAACTCAGTGAGAGGAAATCAGTTAAATGAACATGCAGGAAGAAAGGCTGATTAATATGTGAACGTTTGACTGAATAAGT